GCGCCCATAAAGATTTTAAGTAATCTCTATGCCGAACGTGGGGTTCGAACTCACAACCCCCGAGACCAAGAGTCGCACATTCCACGGACCGAGCCCCCACTTGAACCACTTTTAGGTGCACGGCTCAGTGGCCTTCCGCACATTCACACTGCCCTGCGACCGTCACCACCGCCATCCACTTCCAGAACTTTCTCATCGTTCCAAACTGACACTCAGTACCCGCTGCACGCCAACCCCGATTCCTCCCTCCCCCTGGCAACCACAGTTCTCCCTCCTGTCTCTGTGAACATGTCGGCTCTAGGTACTTCGTAGAAGGAAATCCTCCAATATTTGTCTTTTCGCGACTGGCTTATTTTACGCAGCATAATGTCTTCAAAGTTCGTCCCCGTGGTAGCACACGTGAGAACTTCTCTGCTTGTGGAGATCGATATTCCATTTTGTGTCCACACCACGTTGTTTATCCACTCGCCATCGACGGACCGTTGGCTCGCTTCTGCCTCCGGACTACTGTCTTGACTACTGTGAACAGAGCCGCTACGAACACGGCGTACAAGTACCTCCGGTCTTTTGGGGGTACGCCCAGGCGTGGAACTGCAGGATCATACAGAAATTGTGTGTATAATCTTTTAAGCAACGACCACAGAGGCTCCGCCATTGTACGTTCCCCTCCGCCGCGGACAGGAGTTCGAATTTCTCCACGACTTTGCCAGCGCGTTTTATCTTCTTGGTCCTAGTCACCCTGGTGGGTGTGGAGGGGTATCTCATTGTGATTTTGAGTCGCATTTCCCTAATGACTATGCAGTTGAGCATCTTTTCATGTGCTTATTGGTCTGTTTTATCTCTTTTTGGATCCTTTGCCAGTGTGGGATTGGGTTGTCATTTTATTAGTAAGCTGTAAGGCTTCTTTATACGTAGTTTGGATGTACGATTTGCAATTATTATCTGCCACTCTGAGGATTGTCTTTTTGTATTCTTGATCCTGCCCTTTTTTAAGTTTTTATTTATTTATTGGGGGGGGGGGGCAGGGAGAGAAGGCGAGAGACAGAATCCCAAGCAGGCTCTGCACTGTCAGAGCAGAGCCCAATATGACCTGAGCCGCAATCGAGTCGGACGCTCAACTCACTGAGCCCCTCGGGTGCCCCGCGATAGTGCCCTCTGAAGCATACGAGTTTACACGGCAATCACTCAGTGTTTGATAAATAGGTGATGGGACTGGAAAGACTCAAACCCGGTATGTCTAAAATGCAGCTCTATTGACTTCTCTTGTGTTGTATTTTTACTCAGAGTTTTTGATGAGTTTAGTGTCCTTGTCCGAATGTTAGTTTTTCTGTCTCTAATGGAGGCAATGACAGCCTTGTGATGGGTGTGTTACCGTCACACCCCAGAGGGAGAAACTGAGGCAGGGAGAGGGTGGACCAGACTCCTGATTCCCTCACCTGGATGCTGTCCTTGAGCAACTTTCCAGCTTGTTGGGAAAACCGAGCAAGCCGATGACTACAAACTCTCTTTCATAAATATCCAATACAGAAGCTCACTGAGAATAATAGTTTAGTGCCTTGCTTGTGGTCACGCAGCTAATGTGGGTAAATCTGGGACTGGGATGTAGCTTCAGGCTTCAGAGTATGAGGAGACTCATTTGCGGCTTTTGTTTAAAATGCAGATTATGGGGCGCCTGGGTGGCGCAGTCGGTTAAGCGTCCGACTTCAGCCAGGTCACGATCTCGCGGTCCGTGAGTTTGAGCTCCGGGTCGGGCTCTGTGCTGACGGCTCGGAGCCTGGAGCCTGCTTCGGATTCTGGGTCTCCCTCTCTCTCTGACCCTCCCCCGTTCATGCTCTGTCTCTCTCTGTCTCAAAAATAAATAAACTTTAAAAAAATTAAAAAAAAAATAAAATGCAGATTATCAGCTCTATATAGAAAACCTGAAAGACTCCACCAAAAAACTTCTGGAACTGATAAATGAATTGAGTAAAATCGCAGGATACAAAATCAATGAGCAGAAATCGGTTGCATTTCTATACACCGATAATGAAGCAGCAGGAAGAGAAAATAAGGAAACAATCCCACTTACAACTGCACCAAAAAGAATAAGATACCTAGGAATAAACCTAACCAAAGAGGGGAAAGACCTGTACTCTGAAAACTGTAAAATACGGATATGTCTCGGGGCGCCTGGGGGGCTCAGTCGGTTAAGCGTCCGACTTCCGCTCAGGCCCTGATCTCACGGCTCGTGAGTTCGAGCCCCACGTTGGGGGGCCTCTGCCTCTAACCCACTCGCATTCTGTCTCTGTCTCTCTCAAAAGTAAACACACGTTAAAAAAATTTTTTTAAATAAACAAAATACGGATATGTCTTTATTGAAAACACAAAGAAATAGACTTTCCATGCTCATGGAAGAACAAATACTGTTAAAATGTCTATACGTCCCAAAGCAATCTACACATTTCATGCTACCACGAAAATACCAGCAGCATTTTTCACAGAGCTAGAACTAACAATCCTGAACCTTGTATGGAACCACAAAAGCCAAAGTAATGTAGGAAAAGAAGAGCAAAGCTGGAGGCATCACGATTTCGGACTTCGAGCTGTGTTACAAGGCTGTAGTCATCGAAACTGTATGGTACCGACACAAAAACAGACACAAGGAACAGGACAGAAAACCCAGAAGTAGACCCACAACTATATGGTCAACTAATCTTCGACACAGCAGAAAAGAATATTCAGTGGGAAAAAGACCGACTCTTAAGCAAATGTGCTGGGAAAACTGGACAGCAACACGCAGAAGAATGGATCTGGACCCAGTTTCTTACCCCACATACAAAAATAAATTCACAAGGGACTGAAGACCTAAACCTGAGACCCGAAACCATAACATCCTATCAGAGAACACAGGCAGTAATGTCTCTGACATCGGCTATAGCAACGTTTTTCTAGATGTTTCCTGAAGCAACAGAAATAAAAGCAAAAATAAGCGATGGGACTACGTCAAAATAAAGAGCTTCTGCACAGCGAAGGAAACAACAAAACTGAAAGGCAGCCTAGGGAATGGGAGAGGATATTTGCAAATGACATACGAGATAAAGGATATTCACATACACACACCAGGGAATATTATTCAGCCATAAATAAAGAATGAAGACTTACCATTTGCGATAACGTGGA